CCTGAATGTCCAAAAATGATAGATTTGAGGAACTTATTCACAAAATGGAATAGTAGAAAACTATGAAAAATGATGTTGCAAGTGAGATTTAATTATGTGGAATGGTGATTTTCATACATTTGCTCAGTGAGAAAAGCTGGTTTCCAAGCTTTAGTGTTCATTATGATTCCATTTTTATAAAAAAATATGTGTGTCTGGATATGTAGATGTAGATATGGATGCAGATATAAACCAAGTATACAGGCTGAGCATCCCTAATCCAAAAATCCAAACTCCAAAATGCTCCAAAATCTAAAAATTTTTGAGCACTAATATGAAACTCAAAGGAAATGCTAATTGGAGCATTCCAGATTTCGTATTTCTGGATTAAGAATGCTCAACTGGTAAGTACTGCCAATATTGCAAAATAAAAAAAAAATCAAATCCAAAATATTTCTGGTCCCAACCATTTCAGATAAGGAATACGTAACCCCACAACCTGTGAATAGCAAACAAAACCAGAGGGAAACACCAGCACTGTTAACTGTGGGTTTCTATGTCAGAGGAGTGATTGTATCAGAGATTTTTATTTTCTTATTCTCCATATCAGATTTTTCTTCCTGAATTTGTATGATAAATATGGTGCCTTGTTTAATTTTTAACTTTAAAAAGTTGTTTTTAAAGCAGAAAGAAATATGCACACACTGCTTTAAAAACTGAGCCTCGTTTTTTTCATCTGTAAGGTGGGAGTAATAACACCTACCTCCGCCCATATTCCATAAACAATAGTAAAATATAAAATCAGAAGCACTGATAATGAATTGGGAGCAAGGAAAGAAACCCTTCCTTCCTGCCTGGCCCTGCCATCTGAGGTGCCCAGTTTCTCACAGGGCAAGTCACAAAGGGGGGGCACAAAGGTCTTTCACAGGGGCTATTATCATACCAAACAGGCTCTGGCCAGATGTTACACATTCCTCTTCCCCATGACATAGGTGCAATGGCCCCATTTCAAGAGGAGGAAACGGAGGCTCCGAGCTGGGAGACACTGAAAACTGCACAAACTCTGGGACATCTGATACCCAAGTGCCCCCTGGAAGGGCTTAGGCCTCCCCAGGATTTGGCAATGGTAGGACTCACAGCGCAGGCCACAGGGCGGAAGGAGGTGAGCCTCTCGGCAGGGTAAGCTGTGTTGCCGCTCCAGGCATCCCAGCTCGGGTACTCGCCCCTCTCCAGCACATACTGCTGACCCTGGAAGCCGGCATGCTCAAAGCCCACCCACCTGCAGAGGGAGAGTTAAGAGATCCTTGCTAAGTTTAAGACCAGTGCTATGGCTCGGCACCTGTAGCTCAAGAGGCTAAGGCGCCAGCCACATACACCAGAGCTGGCGGGTTTGAATCTAGCCCGGGCCACCAAACATCAATGACAACTACAACTAAAAAAAATAGCCAGGCGTTGTGGCAGGCACCTGTAATCCCAGCTACTTGGGAAGCTGAGGCAAGAGTATTGCTTAAGTCCAAGAGTTGAAGGTTGCTGTGAACTGTGACACCCTGGCACTCTACCCAGAGCAACACCTTGAGACTCTGTCCCAAAAAAAAGACCAGTGCCTATGCAGGCTGCGGTGGCTCATGCCTGTAATCCTAATACTCTGGCAAGCCAGAGCTCCATTCAAGAGCAGCCTGAGCAAGAGTAGACCCTGTCTCTACTAAAAATAGAAGGAAAGAAAAAAAAAAAAAACTAGCTGGGAGTCAGCTACTCTGCAGGCTGAGGCAAGAGGATCTCTTGAGCCCAAGAGTTTGAGGTTGCTGTGAGCTAGGCTAATGCTACAGCATTCCACCCAGGGTGATGGAATGAGACTCTGTCAAAGTGAGAGAAAGAAAGAAAGAACCAGTGCTTATCATTCAAGGGTGATTGTGCCCCCCCAGGAAACACTGACAATGCCTGGAGACATTTTTGGTTGTCAGGACTAGGGGAGGGCTGCAATGATTCTAGTGGGTAGAGGCCAGGGATGCTGCTAAATATCCTGTGATGTGCCCAGAATTATCCAGCTCAAAGCAGCAATAGCACTGAGGTTGAGGACTTGGCTCCAGACCCAGCAGCCCCCTGACTCGCTCCCATAGGTAGGGCAACTGTTCCACGCAGGCGCCCTGACAACCTTGCACCTATGTGTGCACATAGGCCATGTAGGCAAGGCCCAGCGGCAGGCTGACCTAACCTTGGTGCGATCCCTCTTGATTCTGCCAAGTCGTGGGGGGAGGGGCCATCTTGTGAGAAGCTGTGTTAAGACTGTTTTTCATTTACCTCCCTCTCTGGAGGAAGGTTTTCAGGAGGCATTTTCTCATCCGCCTCTGGTTTCTGTGAGATACCAGGCTTTCCACCTCACCACCCCATAGGGAACAGCATCCAGCAGTAGCTGAAACATGGAAGTGACTCCTCAGCTATGGGGTGCCTGCCATTCCTGCTGCCCATCATGTGGGCCCCTTTGGTTTTGGTGTCATCCTGTGGGACAAGGACACAGGAGCAGGACTGTGGACTTGGCATTTGCTGTCTACATAGGTAATAGACTGTTTGACTCTACCCAGACTCACTGTCTACTTACTGGACAAGTCTGCCAGCCTACTGGATGTGTTCCTAAACAGCCCATTCTTCCCATCTGAGGTCCATTCCCTACCTAAGGAATCAGAAACTAAGAATATTTACCACAATGTGAGATGTAGCGAGATCATCCAAGATGACCTCAGGGGCACTCACATGCATAGCACTACATGCATAGCATCCAGTGGCTTCAAGGCACATAGAGAGGACATTGTTCTCCTTTCTTTTTCTTTTTCTTTCTTTTTCTTTTTTTTTTTTTTGAGACAGAGGCTCAAACTGTCACCCTGTGTAGAGTGCCGTAGTGTCACAGCTCACAGCAACCTCCAACTCCTGAGCTTAAGCGATTCTCTTGCCTCAGCCACACAAGTAGCTGGGACTACAGGAACCCGCCACAATGCCCGGCTATTTTTTGGTTGTAGATGTCATTGTTGTTTGGTGGGCCAGGGCAGATTTGAATCTGCCAGCTCTGGTGTATGTGGCTGGCGCCAAGCCCATCAATCAGTATACTTTCCAAACTTCTAAAAACTTCTACCCAATATGGCAGCCAGTGGCCACATGCAGCCAATTACACTTAAACTTAAATAAATTAAGGCTAAATAAAATTAGTCATATCTGCCACCGTCAAGTTCTCAGTGGTCACACGTAGCCAGCAGCTCTGAAATGGACCATTAAAGGCAGAACATTTTCATTATTACAGAAAGTTCTACACAGTGGCACTGGAATAGAAAGCCTCAGAGCATTATGAGCATGTCCTTAATACCCCTCTGCATCTTATTAATCTCTCTCCCTCTCTCCAACAAAAAGAGTCTCAGCAAGGCAATAATAGTTAGCTAAAACTTAATAACATTTTTTTACTGTATTTATTTTTACAGTTACCTTCTCCTGTTGGCTAGTGACACTGACTTGCAATTCATCCTAAGAGGAATATTTGACACCCAACACTGGGTCTACACTTATAGAGCGACCTCATCCAGTGAGCAGGGTCTATATGATTGACACCCCTTTAATTGTGCAGTGCACAACCTGTGTAACCTTAAATAGCATTCCTCCACACTCCTTAGCACTTTAGGAGGGCACATGGGTGTAGTAAGACCCTGGGAAGATAGGTCCCAGGACATCCAAAAGTTCCAGCACCTCTTTCTAGATCCCTTCTTGTCCACCCCCCAACCCAAGTTGGTAGTCTGGACTCACGCTCCACTCAGCACTTTCAAAGATCGCACAGTCTCAAAGCCAAGCTCCAGCACACTGGGGCACTCGGCTGTGAACTCATGCCGCCGGCCCTGGAAGCCCTCCTC